CCAATTAATTGTAAGACACATTATCAACCTAAGAATTTTTAGGGAAAGAAACATTTTAAATTTACATACTAATTGTAAGATGCATCACAATTTCAAAAACAACAAAATATGAAAAACCATGTCTTACAATCAAAGAACTACCACATATGTTGTTTATAAGAGTTGTGCCTTAAGAAAAAAGAAAGCCAAAAGTTAAAAAATAAACAGATAGACAAAATGTGTCAAACAGCTGAAAGAGAGAGAGACAGCAGCAAAATGGCAGTATTAATATAAACAAGTAGAATTCCTGCTAAATGGGGCATAGAAAGTAATTATATATTGGTGGAGATTAAATCCTTCAAAGTGATCTCATTCTTTGAAGTTTTTGACTTATGGATTTCCCACCCTATCTTAGCTTCCAATAATTATGTAGATTTTCCCATTTTTATTTTCCTTTGGTAATTTTGATTAATGGTTGAGGGGTAACGGGGTGTGCATGGGGCAATAGTTACTCACCTGAGTCAACATTTTCTTCAGAAGTTTAGATCTCTACTTCCCTCTAAAAATTAATTCTAAAAGGAAAATTGGCCTACAATAAAGCAATGAAGATACTTTAAAAGGAAAAAGCCAATGAACAAGGTTATAAAAAACTAATTTAATGGTACTTTTGCTGGTAGTAGAGTTTCTTCACTTTTTTTTCAGATCTTACTACCAAACATTCAGTTGACATTGAGGATATGAAATGCAGCTCCACAGAGATTTTGACCATCCAAAGCCAGAGTGAACCAGAGTACAGTGAACCAGGTAGAAATTTTGAATAGATCATTGAGCTTATCAGGGGTTACCTATTTATGATGTAAAAGTACAATACATTCACATATACAGTCTACTATGAGTCAATTTTCATGTTTAAAATTTGATTATTATAATCCTAGTTGTCTTTTTTTCTCTTATCTGCCCTTTTATATTTGTTACTATCATTAACTCAGAATCCTACCAGCATTAAAACTGAATAATATATACAGGAGAGTTACAAAGATTAGAGAAGAAGAATGGAGGAAACGGCATTAATATTAAAAATAGAAATCTTAAAATATTATAACTCAGTAAATAAAACTTTATATTTTATATCAGCATTAGCAATCTTGTTGACCTTTGTTATGCTTTTTAAAAATTTAAATTTTTAATCTCCCAAAGCAATCTTACCATTCTCTGCTCCATTATCATTGTTAGTGTTGTTATCCTACCAAATTTGAAATCTCAGAATCATCTTTTGTTCCAGTGCAATGCCAAATTGTGTTGCTTCTTAACTATGTTGATGATATGATCATTTAGTTACATTTATATTTGGATCATGTTAATCATCTATTTGGAAGTTTACTGCTTTATTTATGAAAGTCATAAAAGCACACTGACTACTTATCAATAAGTGAGGAGTAAGTTTTTAAGTCCACCCTATAAATGTATAATTCTGTGCTAGGCCTTCTAGAGCCTAGATTCATTAAGGTGAAGAATTACTATCCATAATACTATTTGGTTAACATCATCAATATTTAGTATGGAAATAAAGATAGTACTATCTCCTACGTACTGACAACATAAGCTGTGAGAATTAAAAGCATTAATACACATAAAGGTCTTAGAATTTATCTTACATACAGTAAACTCAATAAAATTTAGCTGTCAATGTATTTTTTAAAAATCACCACTATTATAGTTGAGACACCATGTGATATATATGTAATTCCTTATATAGATGAAAATTTAAGAATGTTCTTTGTATGTTAAGTAACCCAAATTTCTTTTTATTGAAATACTTTTGTTGTAACAGAATGATCAAACATAAGTTGCTTATAAAAAGTCCTAAATTATACTTAATTTTATTCAATGTTTATGTAACTTTAATTTTCATGTATTCCAGGAGAGTTAGAAATGCCACTAACTCATCTACCCCTAACAAGCCAACATTCTTCAGTGAATTCGTTATGTATAGGACTTCAGACATTTCCATCTTCTCCTGTTGGTGAAATGTATGTAAAGATTATATCTAGAACCCAAATTGCAATTCAGAACAAGTAATCTTTAATTAAATATCTCCATATAAAGGCAATTTCCAATATGTCTTTGTGAAAAAATGTAAGAGATAGTATAGTATTTGTAGTAAGCAACTTGAGGGTCTATATGAATATGTATGCACATATTTGGTTTTATATGTGTAATGCATCTCTAGAAGGATATGCAAGAAACAGGTAATATTGGTTATGTTCAGAAGGGAATTGAGTAACCTGGTAATATGAGTAGGAGATTTTTTTCACAATATGGCTCCTTTTTTTAAATTGCAAAATATTAAGTGGGTACAAATGTTTTTGTTACATGGATAGCTTTTATAATGCGTAAGTCAGGGCTATTAGTGTGCCTATCACCTGAATAGTGTTCATTGTACCTGTTAGGTAGGTTTTTACCCCTCCCCCTCCCCATTCTTGATTTCTAATGGCTTTTACTTCTCTCTGTGCCCATTTGTGCCCATCGGTTAATTCCAAATTATTGGAGAGTACATGTGGTGCTTGTTTTTTCATTCCTGAGATACTTACTTTGGGAGTGTTAAACTAGCTTGTTTTTTCATGTTGCCAGAGTTCTTTTGCTGGTTTCTTCTCATCTGAAACCTCTTATTTGAGCTCAGGGCAAATAGATTGGTGGCACACCTGTTCTCCTTTGCTGGGAACTCTCTTGCTTAGAAGGAGAGATCCCTAGATGGCACTTTTGTGACCTACTCTGGAAGATTGACCTGGCAGGAGAGGGGCAGATGCACTAAAAGCCTGTAATGCAGCTGTTCTGTGTTGTCCCATTCCTCTATGATTGTCACAGTCCAAGCCAGTGCTGGATGATCTCCATGCAGAGTGGTAATTTGTTCCCTAGGTCACTGTTGGAAGCTCATGCAGGGGGCTAGACGAGTCCCTTTGCACGGAGGCTAGTGTTGCCGGAGAGTGTGTCTCGTCACTACTATATTCACCAGCAAAAGAGAAATCACTTCCATTTGGTTCTGACTATAAAAACTTAAAAATCCTTATTTTAAAAATGGATTTACAGTAGTCGCTCCTTATCTGTGAGGAATAAGTTGCAAGACCCCAAGTGGATCCCTGAAACAGTGGATGTGATCAAACCATATATATGCTGTTTTTACTTATACATACATACCCATGATAGAGTTTAATTTATAAATTAGGAAGAACAACAATAACTAATAATTAAATAGAACAATTATAACAATATGCCAGCATCACTACTTTTGTGCTTTGGGAACATTAGTTAAAATAAGGGTTCCTTGAACACAAGCACTGTGATACTGTGACAGTTGATCTGATAACCAAGAGGGCTACTAAGTGACTAAAGGCCAGATAACATAGACACAGACATAGACAGACATAGATTCTGGACAAAGGGATGATTCACATCCCAGGCAGAACAGAACAGGACAGTGCAAGATTTCATCATACTATTCATATCAGTGTTCAACTTAAAATTTATGAATTGTTGATTTCTGGAATATTTCATTTAATATTTTTGAACTGCAGTTGACCACGGGTAACTAAAACTGCAGATAAGGGGGGACTATTGTATACCTCAACTGTAAAACTAAAAACAAAGAGGAAAAAGTGTTAAAATTTAAAAACAACATAAGGGAAAATAAGAAGTAATGTTATTGTACCCTTAACTTATTTTTATGGCCCCAATTAATTTGTTTCAGAATAAAACATTTTGGCTGGAAATAATACCCAGTCAACAAATGTTTTTAGTGCCTACCACATGTAAGATTTTATGCTTTTACAGGACTAAAAAGAAAAGTCTGTATAGCATAAGATTTTATTTCCATACTACTGACTACTGACTTGTGAATATATTTTTAGGGCCAAAGAATATATCAAATTCAGACATGTTTTTAGAAAGCTTCACTAAGAGTAAAAATATTTCTCTATACTGGACATGGTTTGCCTGAATATTTCTTTCTTTCACTTTAAAATAATTGCCTACAATCTGAGGTGTCTAGTTGTCAAAGAGACCTTGGTAAGATTCAAGAATTATGTAGATTATTAAATTTTCTAACACATGACCCAATTTTTGGATTATGCAGGTAAATTGTGTGGCTTAGACATAAAACCTAGCTTTCTACTGCCCTAGCCTGTAAGTTTAACTAGCAGTACTTATAATTAGCATGCTCATATGTGTTCCTTATGGACAGAGAAACAGAATACAATCAATTCTAACTCAGGAGTAGTGGGAGATTTGGGGCATAGATTAAGGGGCTTATAAATTAATGGTCTTTCCCCAACCAAGTCTAGAAACTTCATAGTTACTGATGAGTTGTGATTTACACTGAATGTCATGCATATTTCCTCCCTTCTCCAACCAGCACCCCCAAGCACACAAACATACTCACACGGACGCACGTCATTCACTCACACACTCACCAAAATTGAAGGACCCGAATTAAACTTTAGGACCATGCCACTTCCAGATAAAGTAGAACAGACAGAACTTTGATTTCATAGTTCCGATCCTCAGCCAGTGGAGGTTCCAGAATTTTTATATATTAATAGAATGGACTTGGGGACAGCAATTTTGTAAAAAATTTTGTTGAAGCTGCTATTTTCATGATAAGCACAGTAATTTTACTTAGATTGTATTTTATTTTTGGTGGCTTATAGGGTTTGAGCTGGCACAGTTTATGGAGGGAAGTGCTAAAACTCTCCCAAGTCAGCTCCCCTCCAACTCCAGGTTCCATTGAGGGAGGTAGAAGAGGGAGTAACTTATAGGCAAGCAGGAGCAATTAAGGAGTTTACAAATTACCAAACCTTCCCAGGGAAGGAGGAAGTAAGTACTATATTTGTTTTTGGGGGGTTTTGTTGTTGTTGTTGTTGTTGTTTTTTGAGACAGAGTCTCACTCTGTCGCCCGGGCTGGAGTGCCCTGGCGTCAGCCTATCTCACAGCAACCTCGAACTTCTGGCCTCAAGTGATCCTCCTGCCTCTGCCTCCCAGGTAGCTGGGACTACAAATACACGCCACTGTGCCTGGCCAATTTTTTCTATTTTTAGTTGTTTGGCTAATTTCTTTCTATTTATAGTAGAGACGGGTCTCGCTCTTGCTCAGGCTGGTCTCAAACTCCGGAGCTCAAGCAATCCTACTGCCTTGGCCTCCCAGAGTGCTAGGTTTACAAGCGTGAGCCACCGCGCCTGGCCTGTATTTGTTATCTGATCTATGGAACTCTGCTTCATTTTACATTTATAAAATCGAGTTAATTTTTCACTTGCTTTTGAGTGTAAAAAATTCTAATAAAATTTTATTATACAAAAAGACTCAATATTATTAATGTATTAAACTTTAACTCTTCTTTTTTCAGTAGTTTGCTTACTGCTAAAAAATCAGCAAAGAAATATTGTATGGTGTGGCACTTAGGAAGCTGCAGAAGCTCTTTGAACTCATTTTTGCTTACAGGTAAATATTAATTGCTAAATAGAAAGTATAGGTAAAAAGATATAATCAGTAGAAATGTGGAATATTATTTTTCTTTGACCATTTCTTAACACAGAATATATAACTTAGCACAAAGCTAAAATATCCAGATTATCTGCCAGAAGGCTCATTATGCTAAATGCAGTAGTATATGACAAGATCTTGATCACTCTGATTTTCTCAGTAATCCCTATATATGGAAAATAAAAGAAAAAAATACAGGTAGTACATAAAACAGTCGCATACTATAGTTTGTGTTTCTGAGTTTGTGAGTTGGTTGTTAAAAAAAAAAAAAATTCCACATAGCTAATGTTAAAATTAATGTTAAATTTTTTGGTTTCCCAAACTTTCCAAAAAGGATATTTAAAAACATTTTAACAAAATGTATTTATAGTTTAACAAAATAATGTTGAGTTGAATATAAATCTCACACATATAATCTCTTTTCTGTGTCTGACCTATTCCATTATGGAAATGAAAATCTGGATAAAGTATTCTTCTTAAAAATTTTTAAATGAATCACTGAGTTGCATATGGAGGCCAAAAAAAGTGAAAACAGTAACCTTGTAAAGCAAGTAAGCACCAAAGCTGGCTCTCACTCCAAGTGTTTCTGCTAAACTGTGGAGACCTTGAGCTTCTTTTTTTGATATCTGCATGGAGCACAGCATCAAGAAATATCCTACGTGGAGAGTCTAATAAGGGACCGCTGTATAAAACTGGGAGTTCAACCAAGTATGCTATCAAAATAAGAGCAAACAAAAATAAGCCACTACACAGAAAGGGACACTGAATAAATTTGTCTATTTCTACCTTGGAGCTGGAGGAGAGGAAAAGAAAAAAATAATCTCCGCTTAAGTACCTTTAACCAGAAGGCAGCCATCGTGCTAGGTTACAGTGTGAATTCAAACCACCTATATAATTTAAAAACAGGTGATGATTTAATTTTAAAGTGGTCCCAGGTTGACAGTACCCCCCAGAATATGTAGAGAAACAAAGGCAAATCCTTTCTAGAAGAAAATAAATCCTTTCTGGAGGAATGCACTTCAGCCCATGCTTCAGAGAACTTCCACAAAGTTCAAAGAAATATGTGCTAACAGACAAAAATCACAAAATAAATTAGGCATCACAGGTGAGATCCAGCAGAAACAACAGACATCAAAATCAGATCATGTATTAGAAATATCAGACATATAGTATAATATGCATTTGAAGCAAAAAAAAAAAAAGGAAGTGGGAGGGAGAAAAGAAATATGAACAAGGAACAAAAGAAATAACCAAACAGCTTTGCAAAAGAACCATATAAATCTTCTAGAAATAAAAAAGAAACAATTAAAAGCTTAGTGGATGAGTTCAATAGGCACAGCTGAAAAAAGGATTAATGAACTGAAAGATTTGAAGAAATTATCTAGAATCTAGTACAGAGAAACAAAGAGATGAAATATATGAGTGGTTAAAAAATGAAGGATTGAGTGAGATTGCACATGTATCTAATCAGAGATCCAGACAGAGATAATAGAGAAGATAAGAAAGGTAATTTTTGAAGTGATGGCTGAAAATTTTCCAGAATTGTTGAATAACATCAGTCCTTAGATTTATCAAGCTCAGTGATTTCCATACAGGATGGATAAAAAGAATTCCACTCCTAAAGACATCATAATGACTGTACATTACCAAAGAAAACAAAGTGATCTTGTGAGAGAAAAAGAGAAAAATGACAAATTACTTCTCAGTGACACCAGTGAAAGCCAGAAAACAGTGGAATAATGTCATCAATGTGCTGAGAATAAATAACCTGTCAACCTTGAGTCATATGCCCAGCAAAACTATCATTCAGTAACAAGAGTAAAATAAAGATATTTCTGGAAAATAAAATGTCACAGACCTAAACCAAAAGAAACTCTAAAGAATGCACTTCAGGCAGAAGGAAAGCAATCCCTGATGGAAAGTCTGAGACATAAGAAGGAATGATGAGGAAAGATATTTGAATAGATGTACATATATGTATTGACACTAACATCAATAATAATACTTGCTTAGATTTGTATAAGGACAAAAAATGCTGGATTGGAAAAGGAAATATGAGAGTTATAAGCCTCATAAAATTCCCAGTGTTTGGGAGAAGGATAATATTTTATTTCTTTTCTTGGTAGTAGGTGTATACTTGTTCATTCTATTATTTTTCTTTAATGTTTATATTACATATAGCCCTTTGTATAATTGAATATTTCACAATACAGAAATGAAAACAAAACCAAAAAAAGACAAGAGCTCAAATAGTAACTCCACTGCCTACTAGCTATATAATTACCAAGTAATTTAATCACTCTGAGGCTATTTCTTCATCCAATGGAAATAATAATAATAATTTCTATTTTATAAAAGCTTATGTCCATACAAAGACTTATACGTGAATATTTATAGCAGCTTTATTTGTAGGAGCCAAAAACTATTTTGTAATATACAATATATTGTTAACTCTAATTATCCTACTATGCAATAGAACACCAAAACTTATTCTTCCTATATAACTGTAACTTTGTGCCAATCTCTTCCCATCCCCACTCCCCGTCCCTTCTCACTCTTCTGGTAATTATTCTAAACTCTATTTCTGTGAGAATGACTTTTTAGATTCCACACATGAGTGGGATTATGTGGTATTTGTCTTTCTGTGCCTGGCTTACTTCACTTAACACAATGTCCTCCAGGTTCATCCATGTTGCCTCAAATGACAAACTGAATAGTATTTCATTGTGCATATATACCACATTTTCTTTATCCATTCATCTGTTGATGGACATGTAGATTGATTCCATATCTTGGCTATTATTACTAGTGCTGCAATAAACAGGAGTGCAAATGTCTCTTCAACATAACTGATTTCATTTCCTTTGGATGTATACCCAGTAGTAGGATTGCTGGATCATGTGATAGTTCTATTTTTAATTTTTTGAGGAACCTTCAATCTGTTTTCCATATTGGCTGTATTAATTTACATTCCCACTAGAAGTGTATAAGTGTACCCTTTTCTTCACATCCTTGCCAACACTTTTGATTTTTTGATAGTAGCCATTCTAACTAGGATGAGGAGATAATCTCCTTGTAGTTTTGATTTGCATTTACCTGATGATTGGTGATATTGAGCACTTCTTCATGTACCTGTTGGCCATTTGTATTTGTTTTTTTGTTGCTGAGTTGTTTGAGTTCCTTATATATTTTGGATATTAACCTCTCATCAGATACGTAGTTTGCAAATATTTTCTTTCATTCTGTAGGTTATCTCTCTGCTCTGTTGATTGTTTCCTTTGCTCTGCAGAAGATTTTTAGTTATACATTTTTGAAATGACAAAATTTTGAAATGGAGAACAGATTAGTGGATACCAGGGGCTAGTGACTGGAGGGTAGGTGTAGGAGGGAGGTGGGCATGGTTATATAAGGGCAAAAGGCAGGATTTTTGTGATTTGGAACTGTTCAGTATATTGAATGCAATGAGGGATACACAAAACTACACTGGTGATAAAAATTGCATAGAATTTAATACATACATACACACAAGTACAGGTAGAACAGAAAATCTGAATAAGATTGGTGAATTGTTTCAATGTCAGTATACTAAGGTGATGTTATACTACAGTTATCCAAAATGTTACCATTAGAGGTAACTAGGCAAGTGTACAAGAGATCTCTCTATTATTTAATATTTCATAAAACCGCATGTGAATCTATAATTATTTCCATCTTAAAAAAAGAATGAACTGTTGATACTTACAACATGGATGATTTCAAAATAATTATGCTGAATGAAAGAAGTCAGACAAAAAAGAATTCATATGATATGATTTCATTTATATAAAATTCTGGAAAATGCAGTTTAATCTATGGTGGCAGGAAGCTAAACAGTGGGACAGGGTAGGGGAATGGGGAGGATTAGAAGGAGGTATAAAAAGGCAGGAGGAAACTTTGGAAGATAATGAATATATCCATTGTATTGATTATGGTAATGGATTTATGAATGTATACATATCAAAACTTATCAGTTTTTTTGTTCTAAATATAAGCAACTTATTGCCTGTCAATTATACTTCAATAAAGCAATTAAAAATTGTATTTATCTCATAGGATCATTTTAGGATTAATTAAGAATAGTGCATATAAAGAAAGCACTTAGCAGATGTTTTTTAGTAACTAATAATTACTATTATTAATATTAGTATTTGTATTGTTAGTTTCTTATTTTTATCATTATTATTACTGTCATTATAAAAAGCACCATTCCAAAATTAGGGTTTCAAAATTCAAAATTCTAGGCTGGGCATGGTGGCTTACACCTGTAGTCCTAGCACTCTGGGAGGCCGAGACAGGAGGATTGCTTGAGCTTAGGGGTTTGAGACCAGCCTGAG